GCAGAGCCCTAATTCTTGGACAGGAACACTGCAGGGTGATCACAAAATGCCCTTTTCTCACCAGCTAGTCTTCAGTCATTGTATTTCCTTAAAGTTGGTTATTATTTTACACACACAGGGAAGACAAACACTCATATTCATAAGCCTTTTGTAACTCATTCAGAGTTAAACTCATATCACCCAAACTTGCATTTAGCACAAGAGAATGTCACGTGTGAATTAAATTACTCATTATAAGCATGAAACCTTCTCCCTCCAATGCACACTGATAAAGGATGTAGGACAGAAGTACAGGATAAAGCAGAAGGAAATTGTTAAATCCTGAGTCCTAACTCAACAGAAACCCTTAGTGGGACATGAGTGGGTTACAGCTCAGCCTCGAAGTTTAATTATTTTTTATCTGTTTCTGATGTATTCTGCATTGCCTGGTGCTGGAGGAAAGATTTGAGGGGTGGAAAAATTAATGGATTGGCCACAGTGTATCTGATGTGCCCATCAAGGGATCCAGAAGGTTGGATAATGTGCTGGGAAACGGGCAAATGCTGAGTTATTGAATGATGGCTACTTCAGAAAAGGTACTGATAGACAGATCGGACAGGAAAGTGGATGTGTCTTTGTTCCATGAAATTACTATGCTTTCTTTTATTTATATTATGACCATGAAGCCTGTATCTCTCATTTACTTTTTGACATCCATAATCTCCAAATCCATGTTCTCTTTGTTGTTTTACTCCTTCCAACTTGCTAGAGACAAGACATCTATAGAGACTGTGCACCTAACATTCTAGAACTAAAACCTCAGAGTTTTGCTTATCTTGGGCTGGGATGGGAGTAAAAAACTGAGGAAGAACTTCAATTAAAGTATTCGATGGCAAAGCACAGATACTCCAGAACTCTGTGTATCTGGCCCAATGGACATGGTCTCAAGATCCTTTACTGACATGTGCATTCTCAACTACATAAGAATAATGACAACATATATGATAAAATTTGAAAAGGTAAACATTTTTCTGTACTTTGTGACATTATTTCACTAACTACATGGGGCAGAAGCCTCAGTTTTCAAAAACCAAATACTTGCATTCACCTGAAGAGTAGTTTGACTCTTAATAAAAAATAACATATCTAAACAGCTGGAGAGGAGGGTTAAAAGAGAAAGGGAAGGCCGGGGGTAGAAGCAAAAGCAAGCCAATTCTGAATGGAAATTCTAACTAAATACAGAATAAATTCAAGGAAAGTATGCAGTTTCTGTTATTTCGCAGCTTTCCCATGTAAGGATGTGTTACTTCCTTACACTCAGCTTTCAGCAGCAGCAGCATCAACTCTGGCCATGCAGGAGGCACCGAGCCAGCCCCATCCATACCCCACCACCACAACTCTCTTCAGACTGCCTGCACGTACTGCTCAGGTTCAGAACAAGCTGACACCTTCACAAAGGTGCTTCTCCTCTTCTGACACCAGACAGGCTTGCCAGAGCTAGGAACACATTTCTTTAGCAATACTTGAAGTCAGGCTTTTACATATAAGGTTAGAAACCAAAAGGTTAGAAGGAAGACAGAACAAAGCACTGCAATACCCCATGCTTCATAGCTGTTTTCCCCTAACATTTCTTCAGTACGCCCTCCTGCATGAACATCCAAGGTTCAAAGTTGCCCAAAGTTTCAGGTGGTTTCCTAAATAACAACAGGCTCTGTCTCTTGATAGGCTTATAGATATTTGTTCAGAGCCAAGGTCAGATACACAGATGAAGGTCCTTGAAAGGCCAGGCTTTCTGTGGGTTACGGAAGGTCACCGGCCCTCCCAAGTGCTCAGGGGAGGGCAAGAGAACAGCAGACACACTTACTGATGCAATCTCCTGAGGAAAGTACCCTGGATACGTATATCCTATTCCTCGTTAGTCAGCAGGCTAATAAAACCTCTCCAAAGCAGGATTTACATTGGCTTTTTCAAGGCTGGTAAGGGCTATTGCTACACGGGATATTTAAAAGTTAAGCATAAACTTTTAAATGCATCACCTTCTATTTTCATACTAGCTTTCTACGGAGGCTATTTAAAACACAGCATTTCTGAAAATGTCCTGCCAGCTGAATCCTGAATTACTGATTTTTATCTTCTCTTTTCTGCAGCTGATCAAGTCTCTTTATTTGTCAAAAAAAGGAAAACCAGGAAACGATTCACCTAAGACATGCATGCAATTACCACAAAAAAGAATCAAAGTCGAAGAACTCAGGCAATTCCCCCAAATTAGATCCCAGACATGGCAAGCAATCAAACCTGACTTTGATGATGAGATGTAGCTGCATAAGTGAGGTGTATGAATAAGTAGGTGCAGCCCAGCCACATTTTCTTAAGCGAAGATGTTAACAAACATATTCCCAGCTTGTGTAGGGCTGCTATACACATTAGGCAGAATGTAGAGGCATTTCCTCCACCTCCCTTTAAATAAACCAGTAAAGAATACTTAATTTTTACCATTATGAACAGACTTGAAGTTCCCAGAATGAATGAACAAAAAAGCTGATTTTTT